CTGCTTCTCCCTCTGACCCTCCCCCCTCTCATGTGCTCTCATTCTCTCTCTCAAATAAATAAATAAAATCTTTAAAAATAAAATAAAATAAAATCTTTAAAAGAAAAAAAAAAAAGATGAGGAGGATGGAGAAGAACAGATTTGGGCCGGCAAGGGGAGGTGGCATCGAGGGTCTGTTTCAGACCTAAGTTTGAGATTTCTAGTGAGCATCACACCAAGTGGACATGTCATCCAGGCCGTTGGATAGTTGACTGGGTTATCAGACACAGGATCTGAATTTGGGAGTCATCAGCCCACAGACAGCCTTTTACAGAGATGGGGTTAGATGAGCTCATCCTGCGAGGGCCCCTCCCCCACCGCAGCCCTGGAGCCAGCACCCTAGCCTCCCCTCCCCCCACACACCACTCAAGGCCACAGAACCTTCTGTGATTCCCCCAACTGGACATGCCCTCTGTTATCTCTAAGCTGCCCTTTGCTCTATCTCCGCCTCTGTTTGGCCTGTCTCCCAGCCCTCTGTTAACTTACACGGGCCTCTTTGTCTGAGCCTGAGGGCCCCCCCGCCGCCCCCGCACAGCACAGCCCCGGAGACGGGGGGAGGGGCTCACTCGCCTTGAGTCCCCAGCCCCAGGCAGTTAGCAGGGCTTGCCCCCGGGATGCGGGCCTGGGCGGCCTGCGTGGGGGCAGAGGCCAAGGGCCTCCTCAGAACGCCAAGAGCCGTCAGACGCGGCTGCCCCAGGGCTGAGGCTCCAGAGTCCAGACCCCAGGAGGCCCGCACGTAGGGCAGACCCGTGACTCTTCCTGGTGCAGATGTTGGTAAGCTCTCCTGGTCTCGCAGGTAATAGGGAAGCAGAGCCCTGGAGTCAAGGGCGCCCAAAATAAAGGCTTCCCTCAACACGTTTTCCATTTCAGACTCCAGTAACGTTGTCTGTGGCCCGTGTATTCGTATTCTGGGCCAACTGAGGGACGTTTCACTGGTCTGCGCCACTCTGCTTATGGTTCCCTCAGCATTTCTGCCGTTGCCCCTTTCCTTCTGCGGACTGGCCTTCTGGCAACATTTCCAAGTCAGAGAAGCATTCTGTGCCCCTTAGACCACCAGAAAAAATACCCGGTCCTTACCTGGGAGGCTGGTTGCATTTGCAGGATTTTTAGGGAGACTACTTTCATTGTCCTTGTTAGTAGTCAGTGCCTAAAAGAGAGAGTCCCCCGTCAGCCGGTTTCTGCAGATCCCACCATCATTTGGGCCCCAGCTCAGGCACCCCCTCCAAGACCATCTGCCCTCTGTCTCAGGGACCTCTCCATCCTGACCTGACACACTCAGCATCTGCACTCTTATTTACACTAGTTGTGCTACACCTTGCCTCCTCAAGGTGGGACTTCTTCCCGTCTGCCTCTCCACCAAGAGCCGGGGGCGCAGCCCGTCCCCAGAGGAGATACTCAACAGACAGGCAAATGCAGCGCTGTCCCCCAGGTCCCACGCCAGGCCGTACGCACCACCATGTCCTGGGAAAACCACAGACTAGAATCCTGGGCCCACACTCACTAGCTCTGTGACCTTGGGCAGGTTTTGGAACCCCTGTGGGTGTCACTTTCTTCCCTTCTAGGCACAGCCATCCTGGCTCTGAACCTCGTTATCATCAGGATGGAACAAGACTGCAGGTGCAAGCCCAGAGCAGAGCACAGCTGGGCCAGCCCCCAGCGAGCATCCGTCCCCACCCCCTGGCTCGGGTGGGAGTGATGTGGACGCACCACATAGGCTTCCCCCCGGGAGCCGCTTCTGCTGGTGCCCGGACAGCCCTGCGGATATGGGTAAGGAGCAAGGCCCCGGGCTCCCTCCCCGGGCCGCCTAGCTCCAGGAGGCGCTGAGCCTCGCAGCTCAGATGGCCTTTAGGGGATTGAGGACCACAGGAGGACATGCAGTTGGATGGGAAACTGGATTACCCCAAGATTTGTTAAGCAGCTTCGGAGGTAATCCTCTTTCCAGAAAATTAACACACCAGGAGCGCACAGAGGAAGGGCTCGGATGAACTGAATCGGAGTCGCAAGCGAGGCCCTCAGTGGTGTCCACCAGTCCGGAGGTGAGACAGAAGCCACGAGACCCAGGGGTTCTGCAGGCCAGGCCAGCACCGCTCCACGCACCACCCTGGCCACAACAGATCCGGGACGACGGAACTGCCCTCACCCCGTTTTACAGAGGCTTGAAGACGACAGTAACGTCCACGGCCACAGCTCCAGTAAGTGCCAGAGCTGGGATCTGAACCAAATTCGGTCTGGTGCCAGCCCACAGTCCCCACGCCCGGGTGCTGCTACCCTGACCCCTTACGAGAACACGAGCTCACCTGCGTGGAAGACGACGCCTCGCTCTCAGCTGGAGGGCTCCTGGATTCTGTGGGGAAGAAGACTCACTATTAATGATCCACCGACCCTGAAGTCCCGTCTGACGGGCCTCAGAAGCAGAGAAGAGCTCACTGCCGTGTTATTTAAGAGAGCTTTACGTTAGAAATAACCAAGTAGTCAACCCCAAGGGATTAGTCATATAAATGAGGATATACCCATATGTTGCAATAGTCTTTAAAAATATATTAGAAAAGGGTTGCCTGGGTGGCGCAGTCAGTCGAGTGTCCCACTCTTGGTTTCGGCTCAGGTCATGATCTCAGGGTCCTGAGATTGAGCCTCACATAGGGCTCCACACTCAGAGTGGAGCCTGCTTAAGACTCCCTCTCTCCCTCTCCCTCTACCCCTCCTCCTGCTCACATTCTCTCTCTCTCTCTCTCGCAAATAAAATCTTTAAAATAAATAAATAAATTAGAAAAACATTGAGGACATAATGTATGAAAAACACAAGACAAAGAAAGGCTCATGTGGTCTGATCCAAAGTCCCTAAAGAAACGTATTTATATCATTATTTATTGAGTATTATACTATACACCATAACATATATTCACACACAGGAGAAAAAAAACACAAGGACACATCACCAGATATAAGCATTGTTAACATTTTAATGTTCTCCTACTCACCTTTTTGCAATAAAAAATATTTAAACAAGTTCTCATCTGCCTGGGTGGGTTTGGTAGGCTTGGCCCAAGAAGGGACATGGTTCGGGCACACACGAGCACCCCCACCCCCCCGAGAGCATTATTTCTGCAGAAACCGCCCCTCCACCCCCAGCAGCAGGAGGTCAAGCATCGAAGCAAGAGCATGAATGCAAGGCCAGGCTCTGTGGCAAATGTGAGCCCAAGGGACTCAGAGCTGAGCTGTGACAGGCAACGGGTAGAATGCTCTGGATTTTAAAATATTTTCTTTTCAGTCCATCATTTTTACATCAAGAAGTTAAAAATACCACAGAAATGGTTTACACAAAGATGTGGAGCCTCTCTGAAGCAGGAGTGGACCAAGGGACACAGGAGAAGGCAGTCCTGCTTTCTGCTTGGGAGAGAATTTCCAGCAGGACCGTGCCGTCCCCAGGAGGGGAGGAAACCACACACTAGCAGCCTGGACCGGACACAGAGCACGCTCACCCTCCCCGCTGTACAGAGGAAACAGAGTCCCAGAGTGGGAAAGCAACTTGTCCAAGATCACACAGCAGATCAGCCCCAAACTAGCCTCGGGGACTGGGAAGGACCCAGCCTGATTCCTTGGTGTTCCTCCCTAGCCAAGAACAGGTAGACTCACAGCAGGGGTGACTGAAGGATGAGCAAAAGGTACGGGGCACGAACGAAAGCGAAAACCAGGAGATGACCCCAGATGGCCACTGGACCCAGGGCCTCCCACACTCAGCCACACTCAGCATCATCTGTGGCCTTTGGGGTCCCATCCTTGACCTGCAGCCTCAGCATCTCGGGGATGGGACCCAGACATCAGGGGGTTTTAAAGGCTCTCCAAATCCAGAGAGATGTTCAGTTAGAAGGGGAGACCCATCCAGTTTCTACCCTCAGCTCTGATCCCCAACATGGCATGTGGTCCAGAGAAGGATGTTTAACTGTTGATGGCTCAGATTTCTGGGTATAAGTGGAAATTTTATCTCAACCCAGAATGAATACAATTTTTCTAATGCATAAGAAAATTAAGTCTTACATAATAAGACTTTTTTTCTAAAAGTCTCCCGAGATGACCATGGGGACCTGATTCAAACCATCGTGTCCCCAGAGATGGAGGGTAAAGAAACTGCCACATTGGGGCACCTGGGTGGCTCAGTCGTTAAGCGTCTGCCTTCGGCTCAGGTCATGGTCCCAGGGTCCTGGGATCAAGCCCCACATCGGGCTCGCTGCTCTGCGGGAGGCCTGCTTCTCCCATTCCCGCTCCCCCTGCTTGTGTTCCCTCTCTCGCTGTGTCTCTGTCAGATAAATAAATAAAATCTTTAAAAAAAAAAAAAAGAAACTGCCGCATTGTTGTGACTATAACCATCTCACTGGGCAGACAAAGAGACCCGGGCTCGAGGGACGTTACACGACTGCTACTAGGAAAGCTAGCACCGGCCTTTGTGGGCAGCTCTCTGCCAGATCCGGGCTCCTGGGCCCGAGGCTCCATCCCACCGCAGGCTCCCAGGCCCCTGTGTGGCGCTCGCTGCGAGCTCCATCTCACAAGGACACCGAGGCTCAGAAAGGGAGCACATATTTTTTTCTGTTTCGGCAGAAGTATTTCATACTTCCTAAAGCCTCCCTTCAGCTGGCATGTTGGGTGAAGGAGGAGAAGCAGCGGACAGCCACAGGCCCCCGCGTGCCTGGAAGTGACTCGTGGCAACAAGACCACACCAACTGTAATGATCTCCAGCATTTACTGAGCGCCTACTAGGTGCCAATCTCCCCACCTGGCATGGATCAATCTGTGTGGTCTCCACAACAATCCTGAGACAGTATCATGATTTCCCCACTTTATAGATGGGGAAACTGAGGTACGGGAAGGTTAAAGAACTTGTCCAAAATTTTGTAAGAAACAAGTCTTTCAGGCTCTAAGAATGAACTTTTTTTTTTTTAAGATTAACTTATTTATTGGAGAGTTGAAGAGGAGAGCACAAGCAGGGGGAGGGGCAGAGGGAGAGAGAGAATCTCCAGCAGACTCCTGGCTGAGCATGGAGCTCGCCGATCTCCTGACCCTGAGATCACGACCTGAGCCGAGATCAAGTCAGACGCTTATCTGACCGCACCACCCAGATGCCCCTGGGCTTTTTTTTTTATTTTTAAAACCATCTCTAGGTTGAGCATTCCTCACATTCAGAGACTCTATCGTACTCATCTTTGTGAACCTAGAACTTAACACATCTTTCTGAAAAACTGTGTAGTTAGTAAAATTTCTATTATGGAAAAGCACTTCGGGAAGACTATTAGAAACGTTAAATGTAACTGCCGCTGCGTGTTTTCCTTGTATGGAATATTTCCAAGATTAGAGGAGGTATCATATTCATAACAAAATGAATGAATGACAAGATTAATAGACCACATGTGAGGGTTTTTTTTTTTTTTCCACACGAGTTTTTAAAACAAGAAACTCATTTCCATCAACTTGAGGACAGGTTTGAGTTCATTTGCTTGGGTTTTAGGATAGAGAAATGCAATATAAAAGATGGCAGAGGACTTCATGACAGGTAAATGATCTTGGCCAAGACACTGAACATCTCCTAGACATTCCGAGCAAGGCGGCTGGCTTCTTCCCAGACACACCTATGCTGAAAGGAGCACCCGCTTGGCACATTAATATTTGCTTAAACAGTGACCTGACTCTCGGCATTAGGAACAAAGAACATAACCGGCCCTGGGGATGTGATGTCCAGCATGATGACCATGACTAATAGTACTGCATATTTGAAAGTTGCTAGGAGAGTGGACCTTAAAAGTCGTCATCACAACAAAAAGAAATTTGTAACTATGCGTGGTAATGGATGCTAAGCAGACTTAATGTGATCACCATTCAGCAACATAAATATCAAATCATTAAGGTGTACACCTGAAACTAATACCATGTTATATGCCGATTACATTTCAATATAGATAAAAAATGGGGGGGGCAGAGAACAGAAAACATTTTTTCTTACTGTTTGTATATTATGAGCAGTTCAGGGCAGGGCTCGGGGGGCAGGAGTACAGAGAGGGAAACAGGAGTGAGCCAAGAATAAAAAGCAGAAAAAGAAAAAGAGGCGGAGGGTGGTGGCAGAGAGGTGAGGTGACTGGGAGAGAGGGACGAACCCCAGCGCCCGAGCAGGAAGGGGGCACCGGGGCGGGCTTCCGGCATAGCTTCCCACTTGGGGTTCCCTCCCTGCTTCACACCTGCAAACCACCCGCCAGAAGGTCAATCACTGCTCCCCTCCGAGCAGACACCAAACCCTCAGGGAGGAGCTGCTCCTGGGGAGCAGTCAGTCACCCCCGCTGGTCTGCAGGGAAGCCCGCTGCTCTGCGGCCAAAGCGGAAAACCCGCCCAGAGGCCGCAGGACACCCACGCGGCCCACACGGCCCTCCCTTCTTTTGTGAAATAATGGTAACAGTAAATGTCAATAGCTAGTTTTTACTTAACTGTTTATGTCCTTACTTAGCAAAATTAAAAGTTGGCAACCTTATATGGTCCCCAAAGACAGCGGAATCCCAGGGCCCAGGGCCTGGCGAGTTAGAGCAGCACACTGGTGACTGCGGCCGGGCCGGGTGTGCGTGCGCGTGCGTGTGCGGCCAGGCCCGCTTCAGGCCCGCTTCAGGCCCGTGGGAGGGCGGCAAGCAGGGGGCCAGGCATGGGGAGAGGGCCTGTCAGGAGCGGCGCTGAGCGCAAGGGGCACAGTCTCTCCAGAAACACGTGCCCAGGGGCTCTTGAAGGTGCAGACTTTCCCTCTTGGGACAGAAGCGGGGGGCTGGAGGGTCTGAGCTCAGGGCACCCCAAGGCCGCTCGGTGCTGCTTGTTTCCTGAGCGTGGGTGAGCGGGTGAGCAGCATGTGAGGGGGTCGAAGGGTTTGTGAGCAACGAGACGTAACCCGCTTATCCTCATGGGCTTCCCAGGCCCCCGGCCCACGCTCTCTTTGCAGAGGGGCTCTGGGGAGCCCAGGCTCACTCAAGGGCACCCCCGTGAGAGCTGAGGGGGGAGGGGTCCGGAGAAGCCCTCCCACTGGTGAGAGGGGCTGACCGGCCTCCACGCTGTGACCCTCCTCCCGGCCAGACATCAGGGGCGGTTCTCCACGCATCAAGGGCTGTCAGGGCTGAAGCCCTTACTGGCTGCAGCGGCTCCCCCAGCCCTCTCCGCCCTCCACCCCCCACCCCACCCTCAAGCAGGCTTTCCAAGGTCCGCTGCACCTGCCCCGCCCGGTCCTGTGACTCTCACACCTGTGCTCCAGCCTCACCCAAAGCCCCCTTTCCACCTGCCACACAGACAGCCCATAATCCCCATCTCTGTGGGGACACTCCCACACACCCTCCACCACACGACGCAAAAACCTCCTCCATGAAGCTTTTCCTGCTCTCTCTGGGCCCCCCAGAAGCTGGGGGCCCCGCAGCCTGCCAACACCACAGTCGGGCAAACGCCCCCTGCACATTTCACAACCACTGGGAAAGTTTCTCCACATCGCCCATCCCACCTGAGCGGCTCCAGGTTGGAGTCCAGGTTAGTGATCCCGGGACACCCACAGCCTGCCTCCTGTCACCCCAGGAACGAAGCAACACTGCATTGCTAACACCCCCAACTGCGGATGCACCACTATTCCTGAAGGATGTTTTCTCTTTGCGCTCATAAAAACTTTTGCAAGGGGTCTCCGTCCTGGCCATCTTGGCGGTTGCCCTTGGGAGGGGGAACAAAAAAGTCACTGGAGTCAATCATCTGTAGGCTCCAACATTTCAGGAAAAGGGGACAGTATGTGCCCGGCCCCAAGCAGACCCTGAAGAGGAGCAGACAGGCAGAGACTGGTCGTCCTCGTCAGCACCTGCCTGGCCCGGGGTCACGGTGAACAAAGCACCATGCACGTCAGCCCACGCTGGGGCCCACCACGCCAGGGGCTGCTCGCGTGGAAGATAGCGCAGAGAGCACACCCAGCTGCCGCCGATCCAGACAAGTCTGCTATCACAAGGGGCAGGCCAGAACAGACTGGTGAAAAGTAAATCATGCAAAGTATTTCTTTAATAAAACTGGCCAGAGCTTGTTTTAAAAACAAACAACTCTCCGAAGGGAACAAGACAGATCACAGCATCATCCCCCCCGACACATGGCAGGGCTGAGGCTCTGAGAGGTCCTACAGCCTGACTCCCTGGTCCAGCATGCTTCCACAAGCCCCGTGCCCCCCAGAAGTGACCAACCCCACGCTGAGGCTGGGAGGCAGGAACAGCCTGCGTCTTCAGGTCCCGGGGGTTGGGAAGCCCACTGGTGCCCCAAACAGCCAAGGAACTGCACTGTCAGTAAAACTCACTAAACCTCACTCTCCAGACGTGCTCCCCGATCTCCAACCTCAGCCCCTCACATTAGCCACCCAAGCTCCTCTGGCTCTGCCCTCAGCCGGCGGAGGTGGGGGGGTGTTTGCGGGGGAGCGGGGGGGGGGATGCAGGGGGGAGGGGCAGCCAATTTCTCTCTTGGGCATATTTGCCACTGGCTTTGAGGACCCCCCAAAACCACATGTGCACAGGATGGGGTTCTCAAATGCTTCAGCTGCTTATGGGAGGAGATACGTGTCCTGTCCGAACCTCCGCGGGTCACTCCAACAAGGCACAGAAGCCTAGCGGCTCGAAGCTGAACAGTCAGAGACTGGACCCGGTGCTGGCCAGGTGGCCCAGCTGCACCGTCTCCCACTGTGGGGGGGATGTCAATAATTTCAAGAGGGACATCCACAAAGGAGACCAGGTTCAGAGGAAGGTGGCAGACAGGTAGCAGACCGGTGAGGAACCCATAGGCCATCCCACACAGCAGCCTGGGAAGAGACACCCGAGCAGACGCGGGTCCTCTGGGAATCCCGGAGAACTTCGGGAGAGCAGACCAGCAGCCTTGTCTCCAGAAGACAAGGTGGGGTTCACATGGGAAAGAACTTTCTTCTTGAGCAGGCATTTCTCCAAGGAAGACATACAAATGGCCAGAAGCACATAAAAAGATGTTCAACATCACTATTCATTACGGAAATGCAAATCAACCTCACAATACCAAACCCAGTAGGATGCTATTATCAAAGAACACACACACAAAACACAGAAAATCCCAAGTGTGGAGGAGGATGTGATCGGATCCCTGGGCATTGCTGATGAGAATGTAAAATGGTGCAGCCACAGTGCAAAGCAGTGTGGTAGTTCCTCAGAAAATTAAAAATAGAACTACTGTATGACATAGCAATTTCACTTCTGGGTATTTACTCAAAAGATCTGAAAGCAGGGCCCCAAACAGATACTTGTACAGCGGTGTTCACTACAGCATCTGCCACGGCGGCCAAAAAGTGGAAGCAACTCAAGTGTCTGTCCACAGATGAGTGGACAGGCAACACGTGGTCCATCGTGCACAAATATTCCTCAGCCTCAAAGAGGAAGGAGACTCGGACACTTGCTACAACACGGATGAACCTGGAGGACATCACGCTACGTGGAATAGACCCGTCTCCAAAACGCAACTACCATTTGATTCCACTTACATGAGGAGTGACTCTCAGAGACAGAGAGCAGGTGGTCCCCTCCATGTCTGATGGGGACAAAGTTTCAGTTCTGCAGGATGGAGAGTTCTGGGAGTGGATGGGGGACGGCTGCACAACAGCAAGATTTTACTTAACACCACTGAATAGATACTTAAAAATGGCCACAGTGGCAAAAATTAAGTTACATATATTTTACCATGATTCAACATTTTTTAAAGACAAAGAAAGAACTTTCCAACAAAACGGAATTTTGGGGGTGCCTGGGTGGCTCAGTCTTTAAGCGTCTGCCTTCGGCTTAGCTGATGGTCCCAGGGTCCTGGGATCAAGCCCCACATCGGGCTCTACCCCTTCCCCCTGCTCATGATCTTTCTCTCTCTCTAATAAAGAAATTTTTTAAATCTTTAAAAAAAATTTCAGCAGTTAAAAAAACACATTAACCATGCAGTTACGAAACAACACATTTTTGGAAAATATTTGATAACATGAGAATGCTCACAGTATTCACACACACACACACACACACAAATGTACTTAGAAAAACGAAAGACGCATACTAAAATGTTCTCACTGGTTTTCTCGAGGTGGTAAAGATACTGATAATAATTATTTTTCATACATTTGTGGAATTTTTCATGTTCTGTATCAAGCACAGTAATTTCAGAAATTCCCCAAAAGAAATTATTATCACCTTTAACATCTTTTAGTAACTGTGGTACACCAAACCCAGCTACAAATTCTTTGTGGTTCCTCCCATCAAGCTGTGGAGTGACTTCCCCCGCCTGCGCCTCTGTGGCCGGCAGGAAGCTGACGGCCACAGGGAGAGCCGAAGGCCCCAGCTGCCACCAGCACCGCGACTCGGACCGGCAGCTGGTCCCGCAGGTCCCGGCGGGAGCTGCCTACCTGGCTTCCTTCCAAAATCTTGAGTGGATACATGGTTGCTATTTCAGCACCGCTTTGGGGGTGACTTGCTACATAGCGACAAAGCTGAAACATCCGCGCCACGCCCACCACAGTACCTGTCCAGGGGGTGCCCGTGGCCTCCTGGCTCCAGGCGCTCCAGGAGCCGTGCCCAAACTCCTCCCGCGCCCGGAGCTGCACCACGTGCCGCATGCCTCTCCAGGCATCGTGGATGATGCAGTGGTGCTGGAGCTCCTGGACCTGCGGGCGGGGGCACAGCGACAGTGGGGTGAGGCCCGGGGGCTCTGGTCAGGCAGCCCTGGGCCACCCTGCCCTTCAGCTGCATGCTCTCTCAGGTCCAGGGAGTGAGAGCTCCAGGCTGCACAGAGACGCTCGGAGCCTCAGGGCGCGACGGGGCTCCCCTGGGCCCAGGCCGTGGAAGCTGTAAGTCCCGCCCACAGAACCCTGCGGGCCACGCCCTCAACCCGCGTGTGGCCCAACTGCCTGCCGCTGTCCCGCGCGTCCTCTCAGACAGGCCTGTGATCATCGTTCCTATTTGCTGCACGAGACAACTAGGGCTCAGGAGGAGTCAGAGACTCCCCCAAGGCCTGCAGGCTGAGTCACAGAGCAGCGCCCAGAACCGTGTTCTCCGTTCCAGGAACGCTGAGTACCCCGCCACACTTTACTGTCCGGAAGTAGAAGAAGAATTTACCATCCACGTGGTGAACGTCTTTGACCGTTCAGCCCGGTACCGGAGCTCAAACTGCAGCCTGTAGAAATAGGAGTTCCAGGAGGGGGGGTCTTTCCAGGTGACACTGAGCCAGCGGGGATTTCCGTCCACAGCAGTGACAGTGACGTTGGCAGGCGGGTCAGGCTGCACTGTGGGGGAGGAGAGCAGGCTCCCATGCGGCAGCGAGTGTGGTGCACGTCCCCCCGAAACAGGCAGCACCCCACCCCAGCGCCCAGACCACTTCCCCGTGCCATCTTGCCAGGGCCCCCGTCCGCCTGCCAGGCCCCTGGCAAAGGAGGCCCCAGAAGGCACCGGCTCAGCAAACCCCGGCCCCGCCCGGCCCCGCCCGGCCCCGCCCCCGAGCATCTGTGAGGGGCTGTCCGAGGGCACGGGGGCCTCCGGGCTGGGGTACGGGAGAGCTTACTCACGGATTCCGTAGCCCTCAAACGTGTGGGGTCTGCCGGACTTGCTTCCAGCACTGTTGCTGACGCAGAGGGACACGACATACAAGGAGTTGTCTCCCTCCGGGACCTCCAGCAAGCAGGAGAACTTCTGGGACCCCTGGGCATACGGGCACGGCTCCTGGGAGTCCCCCAGCGGGCTGCTCCGGCTGTGGGCACAGGGTGAGGGCAGGCTCGCCACCAGCGTCTGCCCTTACTCAGGGTGGGCGAGGGGAACGGAGACAAAATGCTCCACACCCAGCAGCACTTAGTAGGTCTTGTGATTTCAGTCAATTATCCAACCGCACCAAGCCTGTTTTCTCATTTGAAAATGGGAATATTAGTAATACCCACGTCACAGGGGTTTGTTAGGGTTCACTGGCCACGGAGTGAGACATCAAGGTTACTGCCTGGCCCGGCCAGTCAAAATGCTGAGCTGAAAAGCACACTTGGCCCCTGAGGCACTGGATGGGGGCGCCTCCCAGCCTCGTCCCAATGCAGGCGCCGCAAGGAGTCCGGAGAGGCCCCATCCCCAGCCTCAAGCCTCTAACGAAACGCCTTCCCCGGGCGGACGAGGACAGCCAGTGGAATAGCCTAGCACAGGGCTCGCAGGCTCCCCGAGGAGGTGGGAGCATCTCCAGCCGATGGGCCCGGAAAAGACTCCTGGGTGGCCGCAGATACTCAAGGTGAGTCAGACGCGGCCCCACCTGGCCCGCTTACGACATGTGTGGGTGCGGGAGGTGCTGCAGCCACTCATCCTGCCGCTGGGGCCACAGATCACTGCTGACTCAGGTGTAGACCCCGGGCCCAGAGCAAACTCTTTCCCTCTGGACAGCCTGCTCCTCCGTTCCCAGGGGCAGTTAGCGCCTCCATCCCACTAACGCTGAGGAGGTGGGTCGCCAGGGAGGGCTTGAGGATGGGCGTCCCTCCAGCAGCCCCAGTAAGTACCGAGCCCAGGGCAGGTGCTGGGGAAGAACAGGTGAGCCAGCCCGGTGGGGCGAGGCTGTAACGTGCACGCACACACCTCTTCCCCGGGGCCTGCGGACCTCCCCCCGCCCAGGCACAGGGTCCCTAGGTGCAGCTCCTCTCCCGCTTCCTCAGTCCAGGACAGGGGAGGTGTGCCACCCGAACCGGCTTTCTGTGGCTAGTCTGGGTGGCCACCAGCCACGGTGCAGGACACCCTGTCCGGGGACAAACACCCTCCAGGTCCCAGACAATTACACCCACAACCCAGCTTTGGGTTCTGCAGGGTTCCAGTTCTCCCTCTGGGCAGCGGTGCCCTTTGCAGATGAACAATGTGCACAGTTCTGCACGGAGACCAGGCCTGACAACTCTCTGCAGACAGACACCATGGAACCCAACCGCCTGCTGAAGTCACTGCTCAGATTTTTGACACTGACTACCCACAGCTCAAACTCCATTACAGACACCTGGACGGAGGGGCCCTGCGCTGGGGACGGAGGCTCCTGTGTTTTCTGCAGCTCCCTGCTCCTCACAGCCGTCCTGGGCTCCTCCCAGGCCCAGCGGTGTCTTTGGGTCCTACACCCGCCCTCTCCCCGCCCCAGCCCACTGCTCTAAGGCCTGTCTAGGGGAAAGAGCCTGACAAAAGGCTCCCACCATCAAGACTACTGAGGAGCTCTTGCCCTCACAGGGGGGCACCTCTGCATCTTCTTCAGAGCACACCCCAAACCTGACATTTTGGATAAACTCAGACAGACTGGGATCTGATTCCTAGCGGAGCCACTTACAAGCAAGATGACCTTAAAGCAAGTTCATGGATGGCTCAAGCTCAGCCTCTCCAGCTGTTAAACAAGGAAAACGACACCCCCTCCCTCCCCAAGACTGTGTGGTCACGAATGCAGCACCGCCCAGCCGGCAAGTTCTCGGTAGGTCCCCCACTCCCTCCTCCCCATCCCAAAGTGATGACTTCCCAGTGATGAAGTCTGGGAACCACTGGCCAGAAGCCCACTTGCTGTAGTGAGAGCCGTCAGCCCTCGAGGGGCCTCAGTAAGGATGGAGAAGACGGGGACACACAGCCCGGCCCAGATACTCACAACTTCCTCACCAGTAACGTGGCCCTGGTCGTCGGGGAGGGTGGGCGCCGAGGACCCCACTCACAGACTACCTTGCTGAGGGGACTCTTCCGGAAGCAGGTGAGCTGGGGCTCCTCAGGGGGCACTGAAGGGAGAGCACAGCCGGTGTGAGGAGGGAGCATGGCCCTGCAGCCAGCCAGCCCCGAGGCCAAGGGGCAGCCCCCCCACACACACACTCGCGCAATCTTCCCAACAATGGTAAGGTAATAAAATTAACCATATTGACCACCAGGGACACTGGGCACAGGGGTGAAGCTGGGAAGGAGGAGGAGCACCCAAACCCCGGCCGCAGGCTGTTACCCGGGCCTCTGCCCTAAGCACTCAGGCCAGGGGGAGGGGGGTTCCCCATCAGGCAGGTGCCCCCACCCAAGAGGAGGCTCCTCCATCTCACTGCTGGCAGATGTCAGTGGATCTTTCCCCAAATTTGCTGGGCCAAGGAAATAACAGGAGTTTAAAGGGACAGCTGGGACCTGTCTCCTAGCACTCTGAGCTCGCACTCACCGTCCACCAGCAAACGCACGGTTCCGGCCAGGCGGCCGTCCTGGTAACATGAATAGTTTCCGGAGTCACTGAGCTGCACCGACCTCAGAAGCAGCCTCCTTCCCATGGCAGCCCAGCCGCTCTGGTGTGAGCCTGCCACACGGTTCCCCAGCAGCCAGTGAACAGTGGCCTTGTCCCCCGGCTCCCCGCCCGGGCAGGTCAGGGTCACACTGGCCCCAGGCAGGCTGGTCACCGTATCGCTCACCACCTCTGCGGAGGGAGAAGACACTCGGTAAGCCTATAGCAGCCTACAGCAGCCGGGAAGGGCTTTGCTTCTGATCTGGGAAGCCAGGGGCTTCAGAACCACACGTCCCTCAAGCCCATCCGCGGGCCCAGGCCACGGCCCCCAGGGGGCCTCCGGAAGCCGCCCCTGGCCACCCGACTCCCTCGGTCAGAAAATCCTTGGGGCTCCTGGGTGGCTCAGTCGGCTAAGCATCTGCCTTCGGCTCAGGTCATGATCTCAGGGTCCTGGGATCGAGCCCCGCGTCGGGCTCCCTGCTCCGGGAGGAGTCTGCTTCTCCCTCTGCCTCTCCCCCACCCCATAATCACACACTCTCTCTTTCACATAAATAAATAGACTCTTTTAAAAATGCATAAATAAATAAAAATAAAAATAAATTAATTTTTAAAGAAAAAGAAAAAAGAAACCCCTCAGGGGCCTGCCACTGTCCACAGCATGAATTCCAAGCGTGAGGCCTGGCTCACAGGGCCTTCTGCCACCCATCTCCCCAGCGCTTGCAGGCCTCATCTCTCCCCACGCCCCTCAGAAGGTACAGAGCCCCTCCCCCGCCCCACACGACCTCCTATGTCAGGTCTCAGCCTCAATATCCCCTCCCTGAGGCCTTCCCTCACCCCCAGCTGAATCAGGCCACCACCAGGTGTGGTCTTCCTCACCCCGTCACCCATCACACGCTGCCATATACCAAGTCTGTGTCTGTCTTCTCTCTGAGACTCTAATGCCACAAGAATTGACACCCTGTTTTCTTGTGTTATATTTCAGTGCCTGGCCCACCCTCTGGCACATGACAGGGGCCCACCGGACACACGATGGGGTAGTGACTGAATGAATGCACGCAGATACCCAGCTGGGGCTCACAAGATGCAGGACTACATGAGAAGTCTCAGGATCCCTGGAGCGTCACCGTAGGTGGCCCATTTTACAGACAGTAAGACACAGAGGTCTGCCCAAGGTCACCAGTAAGCTTGCTGCACAACTGGGGTGTGGCCCTCTGTGCGGGGACCCACTCCTGTCTATGAAACCTGTAGGACCACGCTATTTTTATTCTAGGGAGCAAATTAGAAGGTAAAAAATAAATGTGCTCCCTACCCCTGAAAAATATCATGTATGTGCTACTCAAGGAAAATAATATTGAAAATTAAAGGAACAGGTAAACTTTTTTTAGAATAGGTTAAATAGAGTCACAGAATTTGAGATAAAACTAGTCTAACCAATTAATTAAATGAGTCCACCCAGCTAAGGGAATCGAGGCCAGTTTTCATATTAAGCACACTTGGCCCTTCAAACGATTTATTAGCGAGGAGCAGCAATAAATCTGGCCAAAGATTTCAGAAAAGCCCAGCAGGAACCGCCCTCACCTTCTCCTGAGCTCCCAGGCCTGGAGGGCCAGCATCACCGTGTCTGACCTGCTAAGCCTTCTTGCTCGGGAGGACTTTATGTCACACTTGGCAGGCTGTCCTTCCTCCCGCCCATCCAAAGTGGCAGTCAGAGGGACTAAGGGTCAGCGAGCCCTCCAGGAGGAGAGCACCCCCAGAGCGACCGCTGGACACAGCTCACGGCCTTCAGGTGTCCTCCTCACTTCACCATGTGGAGCCTGATGCCCGCCCCCCGCCGGCACCCTCTGCTCTGAGGCTGGCAGCCTGGGGACAGGGGCAGGGTAGCCGCCGGTCCTTGCCGGGTTTCTTCACCAGAGTCTTGGACTCTGGATGAGAAAGGTAGTTGAATCTCACCATGCAGGGGATCAATTTGGGCAGGTTTCTTAGACCCCTTGGCCTTGATGTTCCCTCCCTCTGTCCTACATTCCACAAATATTCGAGAAGGCGCCCAGCGGCAGGTGCCAGTGAGGAGGACACCGGCAGCAGAGAGACCCTGCCCTCAAGGACAGGAGACGCATTCCCCACAGCAGAACGGGGACACAGGAACCACACTTCCCAACAGCAGCAAAGTCCCAGCCCCCCGAAGCCCAGGTCCCCTGAGGGTGCTTCCCTGCCCAGATGGCTTGAAAGGACTCTGAAAAGCCCGAATTACAGCACACCCTTCATATGGAATCCTCAATAATATACTTCCAGCGTTTCAGATATGGTTTTTAAAGGTACTCCCAAATACTGAACACACACACAGTAATACATGTAATACACACAGAAGTTAGGAAGCATGAGACACCCCCAGCCCTCGCACAGCCACTGTCCCGGAAGCCCTGCCTTGGCAGTGTTAACAGTTTGGGTGCAACTGTCCTTTACCTTTGACAATAGGTTCACTGCGCACAGACCCCTAATTTTTTCTTGGCCTTGATTGATTTGGAGGCTTTATATAAAAGGTCTGTATGTAGTCTGCTGGAACGTGCTTTCGCCATTCATTATGGCTCTGGGACTCACCCACCTTCATGCCTGTGATACTCCACTGTGCACTCCAGTAGTTCTCCTGCTCCGCGAGGGCTGGGTGGCTTCCAGCGTCCTGCTGCACCAGGGTGTGGCTACCAACTTTCTCACGTGTGCTCCTGGTCATTTGCCCACGGCTCTCCCGGAGCAGGACTGCCAGTCCCAATGCCTGTCTCACGTGTGTCCTGTTCCTTCATGACCAACACGCAGTCAATGTGTGTACGCCGATGGGCACCAGATGGGTGCGTCTGGCCCACAGAATGATTTCTATCTGTGCCCGATGAGGCTCTGTTTTAGAAGACCCGCCTAACCTCTGCCCCTGAGATCAAGCCACATGCTCTATGCACGGAGCCACCAGGCACCCCTATCTTTTGTTCGTTTTTTTAAGATTTTATTTTTACCACCCAATACTTCTGATCACCGTATCCATATTTTTACTTCTCCATTTTCCACTCGCTAAAGCAGCTCTAAGGATAAAAGTTAACACAGATGTCAAGCTCACGCACAAACTACCACCACTGTAGGAACTAAGACAGAGATACCGCCGAAGAGGACTGTGCTGGTTGGTGCGGAGCTTCACGATCCCTCATCAGCTGATGAGCGGAAATCAGAATTCACCAGACACAACAGACCCAACAGACACAGGCAGGTTGCACGAAGGTCCACACGTGGCTCATCCTTTCATTGACACTTTACCCAGCCATGACTGTGAGACAGGGGCTCCCACTAATATTCATCAAAGAACTCAGCGTGTGCTTAATGCAGGTTTAATGTAGGGTGCCCGAGAGGGACTCCAGGGACAGGGCCTCCCCACCGGAAACGGCCAAGAGTGCTAGCCACAGATGACACAGGGGTCTCAATGGTGCTGCTAACCCCCCCTCGCGCCCCCCCCCAAGCTGCACAGCCCGCCGGAGACCGGAGGAGTGGAGGAGTCGGGAGGAGTCTGCGGAGATGCCGCGGAAAGAAAACAGGAGCCTGGAGCCAGAGGGAGCTCTCTCCTGCTTCTGCACTTGCCCGTTCCAGGAAATTCGCTTCTCTGCCCACCTCCCTCCCCCAGTTCAGACGGAAGCTCCTGCTGTGTGCAGTGACCAGCCTGATCAACAGCAGGGCTGTTCCTTCCCCGCTGGCTCTAACAATGCCCAAAGCACTGGGGCAGCTCAGAGAAATTGCAAATCAAAAGGCTTTTTTTCTCGTCCACAAAAGCAGAGCTGGGGGAGCAACGTAATGGCCACTCCCTCGGCCAAGTAGCTTGAGTAATGGTTTTCTGAATCTTTAAAACTGAGTCACTATTTTTTTTTTTTTAATGGGGAATGATTAATTATAAACCACCCATTGGCAACTATTGCTTGTCCCAGCCCTTCTTCAAAATGTGTTTCTTCCAGGGCTGCCCGGCTAGCTCAGTCGGTAGAGCATGCAACTCTTGATCTCAGGGTCATGGGTTCAAGGCCCACGTTGAGCACAGGGGGTTACTCAAAAAAAAAAGCATGCAAACTATGTTTTTTCGAGAACCTGTGAAGAACACTGTGTTAACTATGCTTCTAAAAGCACTCCGTGCAGGCTGGTCAAATACTCAGGAAAGACCCCAAGAAAATAATCGTGCTGATGCCAGAATGGGCAAGGCTGTCCCTCCCCACCCGGCCACCACTCACCGCTGCTCCCGACCATTCTCCGAGCCGGTGCCCACAGCAACTGCGTGGCTGGGCGGGAGCCTCTGAGCGTCTCCTTGAAGGGAGGAAATGATGTCCCCAGTGCCCTCCCGGCACCTCTGCCCACCTCTCCAGAGGGTGGGACTGGAAGTGATTTCTTTCTCTTCCTTCCATCTTCCCGCAGTTTTTAGATTTTCTTTTTTTTTTTTTAAAGATTTTATTTATTTGACAGAGAGATAGAGAGCACAAGTAGGCAGAGAGAGAGGGAGAAGCAGGCTTCCCACAGAGCAGGGAGCCCGATGTGGGGCCGATCCCAGGACCCCGAGATCATGACCTGAGCCGAAGGCAGACGCTTAACGACTGAGCCACCCAGGTGTCCCAGTTTTTAGATTTTCTATAAGCTGTATTATTCTCAGAATGAATATATATTCGTTTAAAACAAAGAAGCAACATAGCCTGGGTCTGTCCAAGTTATTCAGTCTCAGGAGGGAGAAGGAGGTGGGGCAGAGCACAAGGGAAGCCAGGGGACAGGGGAGAGTGAGGGCGGGCTCCTCAGGACAAGCCCCTCCAGGTCCGAGAGGGTTCACCCGCCCTTGGGCTCCGTGCCCTGTTACTTGTCACTTTCGCTCTGCTCTACAGCCCTTCAGCTCTGCTGGCCAGGTCCCCTGGTCTGCACAAGGTCATGGTTCCTCCCCATCTGCCCCTGCTTGTCTGCTCCTGGGTGGCCCCTTCTTGCTCCAACCATTCTTCCAGATGCATCTCCATGGCCCTCACTCCCACCCTGGGTGATGGGGGCAGCAGGGAGGAGCTGGCCTGCACACTCTAGCACTGAACAAAAAGCACGCAACTCAGCACCTGTCCCCGAGCAACTGCTCTGCTGTCTGGGGGGCAGGTTGCAAGCCTGTGCCTGCCCCTCCTAAGAACACAAGGGTTTCTGTGCTCCATCACGGGCAAGGCCAGAAGTCCTCACTCGGGGAGAATGGAAAGTCAACACCACTAGGCACCAAGAGTCCTCTTCCTCTTGTCCATACTGTAATGTCAAACCGCACGAAGCCCAGGCCATCCCGAGCTAAGGGTCCCCGACGTGCTGAGGCGCCAGGGAAGGGAGATCTGAGTCGGGGGTCTGATCAGTGGAGTGCCCCTGTTCCATCAGGAGCCAAAAAGTGGAAGCCCATGGGGGAGGGGGGCACGTGGGGTCCTCAGAGGGTGAGACCTCCCTCTTCAGAGGGAAGGGCACAGGCTCAAGGCCTCCAGCCCCAACAGGAGCCAGTCCCGCTCCTTCCTTCTGTTTATCCTCCAATCCCCTTGAGAATGAGCCCACTGTCCCCCCAGCTCCTGCATAAAGCGCCCTGGAGGCAGGAGCTGGGGGGGGGGGGCAGTCAAGGACTGGGAGCCTTCTTTGTTTGTCCCAAGGCCAGTGTCAGAAGCAGGACAGCAGTACCCTGCACCCCAGCTTCCTGCAAAGACAAGGGTTCTGAAGAGGATGAAAGCACATCACCTGGGACGGAAATCAGAAGTGTCCACTCCTGAAAACAAAGGTCCCAACATTGCCTCCCTGAATGCCCAAAGCACTTGGTGTCGGGTCTCCCGGCCCAACGCTTACCATGAACTATGCATCTAGGAGTGGGGACAGCCTGGCGTGGAAGGGACAGGAGGCCCGAGTCCATCCCCAGTCTTGCCACGATTCACGGGCAGCCTCGGACTCCTTACAGAGCCGCTGGCCGAGCCCCTGTCTCTTTCTCTGTGAAGCGAGCATTCGGACCCCATTCCTGCCCCTAGCATCTCACCGTGTGGAGTCCTCAGCTCTCAGAGGTCAGGAAGCACGTCTGTGTCTGTTCACCTCAGACAATACCAGCTTGAAAACATGGAATTAATCGATAGGTTTATTATTCTAATAGTTGATGACTTTGGTTTGGAGAAGGATGAGAGCCAGGTCCCGGTGCCCTCAGACAAACGCTGCTTCTCTCCCTGGAAAGCGCTAAGGGAGGGCAATTCCCACAACATCCCTGCCTCCCCTTCCTCGACAGGAAGTAACCCCTGGCAACCAATCCCACACCTGCAGGCCCCTCAGGCCCAAGCCATCCCAGTCTCTGGGGCGCTGGGGCCCCACCACCGCTGGGGACTCTGCAACACAGCCCTGGGAAACGGGGCCCCTCCCCGTTCTGGACCTCAGGTTGGTGCCAGAAACCCAAACAGCTTTGCTGTTTTTCTACTTTTTTCCTCTTCAAATAAACTTGCAAATGTCAATAATCAGAAAAACATGCACACGGAGACATATTTCTCAACTCTGCCTGCAGTTGTTCTTGCCAGCAAAAACACGTTCAGCTTCCCGGCCGCACTTACGTAAGTGGTGAGCGAGCTGCCCAGCACACCGCCACTGAGGACGGGCTTAGTGTGCACCTGCCAATCCCACGGCCCTGGCTTCTGAGCAGGGACTCAGGTCTGGCTGACGGGCCACCAGCAGCGCGGGATGGACTCCAGCCTCTCGGGTTGCAGAGGCCCAGGATTTCAGGAGGGGTCAGAGAGAAAACGGATCCCTTCTCAGCAATAAAGGCCTACAGTTGAAGGGAGTGGCTGCTGAGAAGTATCCAGAAGGACGTGGGTCCCTGTGTCCAAATGCAGAATTTGGTCCTGGGGAGCCTAGAATACGTCCCCAGTGCTCTCCATCTACCAGCTGAAACACATTTCCTGATTTCCGTGTAATAATCATAATGCTCATTAGCCATCATGAGCACTTAGCATGCCTGGTGATTCACCCAGGAGCTTGCTGCTCCTCACAACCACCCTGCCAGGAAGGGAAGCTTGTCCCCGTAGCATGATTGAAGCACTGAAGTTCAGAGCAGTTCAGGAACTTGCCAAATTCTAACAGCTGGTGAGGTGGGGAGTCTGCATCTGCTCCAGCTGAGAGTCTCTCTGCCCCGGGGCAGGTGCCTCTCTGGGCTCCCCTGGAGCTCCCCCCGAGCTCCCCCTTCTCTGGGCTGCCCACCACCTGTCAGTTCCTGCTCGTCTCCTGCCTTTCCACCCATCACAGAAGCTCCTGGAAGGGAGTCCTAGGTGTGAGGGAGGTGAGGGCAACAGGCCTCCTCAGGCACACCCTCCACCTGGAGTCAGGGCCCAAGCACCCTGACCTTCCCTAAGGAAGCAGTGTATGACCCCCCCCACACACACACACACACACTCCTGCTCTCACCAGGTCACCTATTCCCATGCCTAAATGCCTAAAGTCCCCAGGTCCCAGGGAGAGGTCAGGCCACAGGCTCTAAGCTGAGGCCCTGCCCCTTTCTCTAACTCAGCCCCCAACCCACCCCCCAACCCGCCTCTTCCCAGCCCCACCTCCCCAGACCCTGACCCCTGCCGGCAGCCCCGCCCCTCCTCTCTCCTGTTTGCGGTCCAGTACCTGCTTGTATTTGCCTTGTATTTGGCAGAGTTGGTGTTTACCTTGGCTCCGACAGTGGACTACACCCTGCTTGGGGAGAGAAGGCTCCTCAGGACCCATACAAAGGAGGTGCTGGATGCTGGCTCTCAGCCCCGCATGGTGACCAACTCCAGAGAAAAATGTGTAATCCTGCCCCAGAGGCCTCAGAGGTAATCTGCTGACCAGGCCCGGAAGGTCTGGCCAGGTCACCTCCCCGAGATTATCACCTAATTAGAGGGAAAGACAGGGAAGGAGGGCAAACAGTCCAATGGCCCCAGAGGCCCAGTGAGATTGACTCTGCCTCGGGCCAGAAAGGGGCTGGGCTGGGGGTGCTGGGCAGAGAGCCACCGTGGGGGCTGCAGCAGGCTAGCTGGGGCCCGGTGCCCGTGGGTCGCGTGGCCGGCCGGGCCGTGTCCACCTCTTGGCTGGCCCTCCCAGAGCACAGCCGTTCCCATCTCTGAACTCAGCCTTGGCGGGAGCCTGGCCCGCTGGGAGGCGGGCGGTGTCTTCCGCGTGCTCGCAGAAGGTGCTGCCTGGCGCCCCGGTCCCAAACGGTACCCACAGCCCACTCCCCCTAGACCTGAGGAAGCTAACGGTCTGAAGAGCCGCAGAGTGGTGGTGGCGGGGTGGGGCAGGGGGCGGATCGCCTTCCGCTCCTCATCTGAGTGGTGGCCCCGTGGGCGTGCGCTTTGTGACAATTCACCGAGCTGCACGTCCACGCTGAGCGCTCTTGTCTGTGGGCGTGTGGCGCCGCCACGCACATTTGTATGAAGGCCCCCAAGTCAGCTCCCGAAGTCCCACGGCTGCCCACGCTCGGGCCTAGGACACGCGCGCACACGCACCTGCGCGCACACGCACCTGCGCGCCTCACTGGTCCGTCCAGCTCGCCCCGGGTCCCCAGGAAGGACGCGGTTCCCAACGGGCGGCAGGCAGCTGTGAAGCCTGGAGCCCCCCTGCCTGGGACACTCTGAGACAGGAAGACTCCGCACTGTGAATGCTCCCTACACCACTCTGCAAAGTCTACCTGATCCTAATAAAAATACCAAAAGGAACTTTTTAGACCGCGACAAGCTGATTCAAAAGGAAAAGTCAGCAAGGGCGGCCAGGATGATTCTGAGGAAGCGGAGGAAGGAGACAGGGATGGGCCCGACCAAACCTTAAAGCAGTATGATACCATCACAAACAGACGAAAGCATGGAACAACTAGAAATGGCTCAGAAATAACAATAACCGAAAACTGCTTAGTCTGCACTAATGAACTGCACACTTTCAAATGGCCAAGATGATAAATCTGATGTGTATTGGGGCGCCTGGGTGGCTCAGTCGTTAAGTGTCTGCCTTCAGCTCAGGTCATGATCCCGGGGTCCTGGGATCGAGCCCCGCATCGGGCTCCCTGCTCAGCAGGGGGCCTGCTTCTCCCTCTCCCACTCCCGCTGCTTGTGTTCCTGCTCTCGCTATCTCTGTCAAATAAATAAAATCTTAAAAAAAAAAAAAGTCTCATTTAAAGAGTAATTCTCTATGTACTGATTTGAGAAAAAAATCTCGCATTACGCAAAAAAGCAAGATGTGGAAAACTATGCTATCTTTTGTATTTAAAAAAAGGAGGGCGCCTGGGTGGCTCAGTCGTTGAGCGTCTATCTTCGGCTCAGGTCATGATCGGAGCTGCCATCAGGCTCCCTGCTCAGCGGGGGGCCTGCTTCTCCCTCTCCCACTCCCCCTGCTTGTGTTCCTGCTCTCGCTGTCTCTG